GATGCTCCATTCAGCCGCACAATGCTGGACCATTTCAGGGTAGGTACATACTCTCTTCTAGTGCTAAAGTGTAGCTGCGTGAATAACCGTACCCGCCGTTGCATGCAGTCACTGGTATGTAAGTCGCGCTGTCTGCTATGAAAAAAAGTGTTGCATCGCTACTACGCCACCAACTATGGTAGTCTAGTCGGGGACGTGCTAAATATTAACGGATTTTGCAGTCGAACCTCTCCAAATATCGGCTGGCCTGTCTGCAGGCTTTCCAAGCTCTCTGCAAACTGAAGAAGGCAGCGCTGACAATTATCGCACAGCAGATGAATGAGACGCAGATCGAACTCCTGACTCAGACATTTCTTGGTGCATCGGCGTTTTTTTTCTCAAAAATTGGTCTTTTTGCATGCAAAATATGCTACAATCCGAATATGTTAGAGTGCCTAAGGTAGTTGCACGATAAGCAGCATGTAAATGGAGTAACTCACGCCGTATTCGGAAAGTTCAAGCCAACAGCCAATTCCGTCGGTGCAAAATGTGGCCTTCAGCACTGGACGAGGACGGAGACGGGAGCATTACTCTTCAAGAGTTGCGAAGTAAACCTTGACACAGTCAAAGCTTGGTTGCTGTATCTAAATTTACTGGCCGCGAAAATTCACGCATCGATTCCAAAACTAGCAGTACTCGAACTGAGTAGCGGGCAAATNATTTACTGGCCGCGAAAATTCACGCATCGATTCCAAAACTAGCAGTACTCGAACTGAGTAGCGGGCAAATTGTTCGAGCTTCGAATTCGCGTGCTTTTGCTAAATCAAAACCCGCGCATGCAAACAATATCGCGGGTATTCCTTGCTGTTGATATATGTACGCGTTTCTAAATGCAGCTGGCCTTAAAAAGGCAGGCATGAAAGATATTCCTAGCGACCTTGAACAGTTGATGAACGACGTAGACTCCGATGGCTCAGGTGTAATAGACTACACGGAGTTTGTAGCGGCCACTCTTGATAAACGGCAATACATACAGGCAAGTCACTTGATGGCTACGTGGAAGGCCTGCCCCTTAGGAGTGTCATCCTTAGGATCGGATCAGTATTTTTGTTAAGCAAGAGGAGAGTTCGGAGCCAAATATCCGCACCCTGCCTCACAAAGCTACCAGGTGCCAGAGTAACCTAAAGCAGAAGGAGAGTTTGGAGAGAGATATCAGCATCCTGCCTTCTTAGGTTGTTCTGGCACCTGGTAGCTTTGCGAGGTACGTATGTATTCAGTAGATTTCTTTCTACACGCTTTTTGCGCGAAGTAAAACTGAATTTCTGCGTTGTCGCAGGAAGATGTGTGCTGGGCAGCGTTTCGAGTTTTTGACTTGGACGGAAACGGCCGAATCTCCGCTCAGGACCTAGCGCATGTCCTATTGAACACAGACGTACAGTCCGTATTCCCATCGCCTGCCTCCGTTGGCAACGGGAACTCTGCCCCGCACTCAGCAACTCCAGTGGGAGATGACGCTCAGCGGGAAGGCCACAAAGGACTAGCACACAACCTATCGCCCCAAGAGAAACAGCATCAAATGCAGCAGATCAAGAGCATTATTCGTGAAGTGGACCGCAATGGAGATGGAGAGGTTCGTTGCTCTGGTCCTCAACCAGCCGTAGTCGAGCTAACTTAGTGTAGGGAGGCTCTTTATTCGATATACTATGTAACATATGCTTCTATAAGACACCGTTCTTTATTACAAGAAAACTGTTGGAAAGCTGTCTTCTAGTACCCGTATGACGAATGTCAGACAGGCTAGGTCGTCATATGTACACATATATATACATATATATATATATATATATATATATATATATATATATATATATATATATATATACTGCTTCGACTAGCGTTCCGGAGGGAGTCGGATATTCTTCTATAGCTGTGTAATATGAAAACTGGAGGGAAAGGTAGATAGAACATGGGTCTGTCTCCTTGATGCGCTGCAGATAGACTTCGACGAGTTCATGGATATGATGCGCCGGAGTACCATGTAAACCCCTCGACTACGATTGCCGCTTGCGCTACTTGAGAAAAAAACACCAACACTCTAAGGAAACTAAGCACGACCACCCTAGTCCTTGACTCCTACAGATACAACGGCCGAGTCCAGCATCCTGCTGCAACACAAATATATCTGCTAGCTAGTGATATCTAGTCCTGCGTGGAGCATGCATGCACTTTCTTCAATGCCCGTATAGTTCGCCTACGTGTTTTGCCTCCGTTGTGCTGTAGCTGCAATTCAGCACGCGTAAGCATCTCGTAGAC